GGCCCGAAATTCGGATCGACCAAGATGAAGAAATGCAGCGGGGCAGGGTCGGCAGCCAGCTCTGGGGTCGTTGTACCTCCCACCCAGAGGATGCTCTCTCGTTCTCCCACCGCCATCTCGGCGCCAGAGCTGCTCAAGCACAAGCCCCTGTCTCTCTCTTTGCATTCCCTTGGAGGTCCCATCCCCAGCCAGCTCTCTCCCAACGCCAAAGAGTTCATCTACCCAGGATCCCCTGGGCCCCTTTACTTTGATGCTGACCCCCAGTCCATGCAGCCTCATGCCAGCCTTTTCCAGCCCCCCCACACCGTCAGCACCCATCCATCCTTTGACCCCTTCTCCAGCCCTCCTCCTGCCCAGAGCATGAGCATCATTGGCAGCAACGGAGGAATCTCTGACATGGAGAAGCCACCATTTGTCGAGGGCCTAGGAAGTTACAACCTGCAATATCCTAGCCAGTCCTTCCAGCCTGTGGTGCTGGCCAACTAAGCCTTCATTTGTAATGATAGGAGTAGGACGAGTCGCGTGTTGGACAGTGATGCTCCAGATATTTTCAGTTTTTCTAAGAAATTGTTCTAATACTAATACAAGTTAAGAATTAGTTTTACTACAGAGATTTGAAATACCATATCCACTGAATATTTCATGTGACTTTGTTTTGTTCCTCTAAATCCCACCCTGCACCTTTGTCCACTGCTGTTACGTTCTGCATTGGCTTTGACTGAGTAGGTGGGGGTGAGTTCCTTTCTACCTTGAGGCGTTGCTAACCTCTTATGCTTATTATTTTTCATTGAATGTTAATGTGACAGACCTTTTTTTTGTTTCTTGACTTGTGGACACATGGACCCGGCTCTACTATAGCTCGATTTTGCACTGCACTGTCATGCTGTGAAAAAGGACCTTGCCAAGTCCTGCAGGGAATGACGGCTGTGGAAAGCTCAGCACTTGGCTCAGCAATCTGCTCTGCCCTACTTGCCACAAATACAAAGGGGCTCTGCTGTCTGTGTGTAGTCCTGTTCTGTTTTGTTGTGGCTCAGCGTGATCGAGACAGTGGGCCCATTACCCTTGAAATGCACTCATGCACAGGCACAATTTGACTCCGTTGTTGTCAGCGGGTGTAGAGTGAAAGTAGTTTCTCATCAGCTCAAATGTGTGCGTGAGATAAATGAAGTGAGAGCAGTGGAAGGAGCAGGAAGGGAGCACTGGAGTGTCGAGGGACTGATGTAGTAGAATGTATTGTACCTGTCGGGGCAAACTGCAGCAGCTCGGAAGGTCAGGGACACTGGTGAATGTGGGAGGGAAATGAATCTTTGCATTTTAAGGCGGCAACCATGTGCTGATACCTCAGTTATACACACAGTGACTTAAGTAGTAGTTTTATACATATATTCAAACGGACAGATGTGTAGTACATAAGTTCTAGTCGTCGGTGTGTGAAGGTGAGCAGGGGGAGGGGATGTAGCAGCTAAGCAGTAGGGATTGTGATAAATGGTTTAGCATGACTCTGACTATGAAGGAGAGGTTTTCCTCTCTGTGGAGGAGAGAGAGAGAAGCGGCTCCAGAGCCCTGTAGCCTCGGTGGCTTCCAGATTTTATTGGCTTAGAGAACGACACTTTAACACCCAGGGCACGTTTCTGGTGAGCTTAAGCAGTATTGAAGCCAAAGGCTCACACTGTTCTCTGCCTCCTCTTGAAATTCTTTACTGATCTCTGCTTCTGCTACAAAGGAAGAACCAGACACATGCAGCTCAGGTTGCTCTGTCTCTTCCCCCTGTTGCAGTGATGAATGACAAAGATGAATGTGCTTATCAGGTCTCTGCTGTTTCTAACATGTGTTTATCAGCCGGGTCCATGTGATGTTGGTTAGTAACTGCAGGGAAGGGTAACCCCCCCCCCCATCAAATCCATTTGCGCTGTCCAGCACTTTATTACTGATGCCGTGTGTCACCCACAGACATGAGTGCTAAACCATTCCTCTGCCCCCTGTGTGGTTCTGGCACATTCTCTTCAGCCGTCATCATGAAATGCTTGAGAGATTCACAATTTGTATTTGAATGCATCCCACAGGTGTGGAGATGTTGTCAGTCGGCCCATGTATTTGAATGTTTTCTAGGCTTGTACTGATAAATGCTTTTGTATAAGGTGACCCATGACTTGTGTCCACGCTGGGGTATTGCGACGTGACAGCTCGTCAAATGCATGCTGATTTTATTTCTGTTTTGTTTTGTGTTTGTTTGTTTTGAAAGGGATGACGGGGGAGGTACATGCCTCTGCAAGTGTCATCAGTGAGGGGAAAGATTTCTTTTATAATTTATTTCTATATATTTTTTGTTATTGCTAATGATCACTTAGATTTGTATGAGTAAGACATGGCAAGTCCAGGAATATGTACAGTATATAAAATGTTCTTATGTTCAGATTCTTTGTTTAGTTTCTTATATGCTGAGGTTATTTTTTCAGAAAATAACATGAATATATGCAAATTGAGACAAAAATAAAGGTGTAAAGAATAAAGTCTTGGATGTGCATTTTACCTTGTACAGCATTTTGCTCATGACGGGTAAATGTATTAATTCTTCAAGATGGGTTTGGAGTTTAAGAAGTGTATGTTTACAGTGGGTTTGTTAAAGAAACGATGGCTGAACTCACTCTCTCCTGTGCTGCCAGGGCAGCCTGACAACACCACTGCCAGAGGCAGTGCTCATAGACCAAAAATCTTCACTGTCCACATCAGTATTTAACAATCTCCTCTTAATGTAAATTTGCTGCATTGCCCAGATCCACCCCAGGTATTTGAACATTTCCCTTTTTCTTTAACAATTGCTCAACTAACCCTGTTTTTAGTCAGTATGCTGCTACCGGACCTAAATTCAGATTTGTATCAACAATATGTCTTAACGCTACATTTCCCCAAATAATTTTACTTCATCTCATCCAAGTTCTTCTTCAGTGGATCCCCCCCCAAATCAGCCTGGTCCTGGTACTATAGCCATATGTCCGATTACCTTTTGCTTATGCTCACCCTGCTCCAGTACAATGTTACGCCATAGCTGAAATGACCCTGCAGGAATCAAGGGGTTCCTACCTCTCTGCACCCCAGAAGGAAAACACTGTCTCTTCAGTAAGAAGACAGTGGCAGTTTGGGAGGACAAAGGAAATGAATGTGCTTTGAGTAGATTCTGATCTCTCGTTAGTTGACCCTGGTTGAGGTGGCCTGCAGAAAATAAACAAGGAAGCTACTCTTTGTGTGTGTGTGTTTGTCTTGGAGAGATTTTTAGTCACATGACCCACATTTTGTCAGATTATGCAGCACAACTGAGTCAGGCTCTTGAGGTGAGAGATCTGAGGATGTGGTTGTGAAAGCTGGTTTGCTCACCTCATAAGAATGAGTTTGTGTTTTATATCTGGGGAAGAGATCACACAGCACATCACCTCTAAGCGCAGGCTGATCTCCAACCAGGGTTGAACATTGAGGAGGAAGGAGTTTTGTATTCTGATGTCCTTTTGCTTATATCTTTTATTTTGCCCTTTGGAATATTGTCATAAAATTTATTTTCTATGTAAATTTAACATTTGAGAGTAAAATGGATCTAATTAAAAGTTCAGATGTATAAAAGTAGTGCTTTCTTTCCTGCCTGTATTTTATTATTTTCCTATTTTGTATTTGACCTGTAAACCCTGTAGATGTATAATGAATCTTTCACTACTGAAATGCAATGACCTGTTTTCTGTGCTGCCCCTTGGGAACGGGGAGTTGCTACTGCAGTTTCTTATTGTATCAGATTCTTTTTTAAGTTTGTAATAAAAACAGACTGGCAAAAAATAAGCATGGAAATTTAACTAATTGTGTCCTCATTGCTGCCAGACCGAGACGGTTTGACTAAATGGGAAAATGTAGCACGATGTGAATCTTCAGCTTGGTCATAAAGCCAGATCCATCCACCTCTTGTGTTTTACACAGTTAATGTTGAACACGTTGCAAATCAGAGATTATAAACATTAGGCCCCTGTATTCCTGTGCAAAGCCTCAGACTGAAATGCCAGAGCAGTGTGTTCTCTCATTGCAGTGAACACATTTGAGAGATGTTTGATCAATAATTCAAAGCAAAGATGAAACTAAAATGGTGAGTAGCCAGATTGCTCACCACCCACCTCAGCTGGACCCGTCCCAGCAGATATTACTTGATATTTCATCACCCAGCTCTCTGTCTGTGTCTGTCCTGTGAGGGTGTTACTGTGGGAGGCAGCCAGCTCTCTCAGACACCCTGCGCTGTGCTTTCTATAGTGACATGGAGTGGCGTGACATTAACATGCATGGCTGGGCTCCTCCTTGGCACTCCACATCTTCGTCGCCCACTCGTTGCATCCCTTCTCCCTCCCTCATCGTATGTCTTGAACTGCATCCATCTTTCTCCGTACATCCTCTTAGCATCTTGTCCCTCCATCCCTTCAACCACCTGATCCTTTCCTCTCATTGTCCCTCCTCCCAATTCCCACAGCCCCCCTCTTGCTTCCTCACTCTCCTTTCTCCATCCTTCACACACACACACCGCCATCCCGCTGGTCTTTGAGGCTGGTATTGCTGTTATGCAACACGACTCCTCTGTGTTGATGTGATCATTACGCAACATCCTCTGCTCTAGAATACAGATGAGCAGCAGGATGAAGGCAACAAAGGGACACTGAAAAACAAGACATATGAAGGAAAAAAAAATCTGTGTGCGCACATGTGCACACGGTGGTCACTGGGGATGGGTACGTATGCAGCGAGGATGAGGAAGATATATCCATTTGACCAACACTGAGCATCCAGTTGTTTGTCTCCCAGCACCAGTGTGCCTTCTATTAGAGCTGCAACAGCTGGTCGATGAGCAGGGCAAGGTCACATTCAGAGCCAACATGCCATTAAATGCCAGTTTGTTTCATATGCATGATACAGTTAGGACACTGTACTGCAGTAGCATGTATCCTGTACATGGTTAGGACAATATAAAAACACTCAAAGCATCTTTATACAAAAAGAAACACCAGAAACCTTGTTTTCAGTAGACATTTATTTTTTTTCCCCAGGAGTATTGTAGCTACTTTGAATCATCAACAAGGGCCGTGTCATTGATGCGAAGCTCCCAAAGCCACTGACGAGGTTTAGGCCAGAATGTGAAAGTAGCAGACATGCTAATCTGTGCTTTCTTCACAGCACTCTCGCACTTGGTGCCACCTGCAGGTTGTGCATTACAGCCGTTACTGTAACGTGCGAATCTGCACCAGATTTTTAATGTTTCTCTGCCGAGAGCTTCAACAAACAACTGACTCTGGACACGTCCGTTAACACATTCATGCCCAATTTTCTGAAGAAGTGAATCTGAAACCTGCAAGTGTCAGTGATCAACAACAAGACGCCAGTTTCATGAGGCGCTTTGCATCAAAAAGAGATTGCTACATACTGTATGTTGTACCATGAACGAGCTGCACTTAGTTTCATCTAAAAGGTTCCCTTGGCCGTACTCAGAACATTTAGATTGTTATAAAAATAAAGTTTGCATTCATCAACTACATCGATGTATAAACAGCACAATGCAGTCACAGTCAAATCTGAATGTCAGTGCAGAATAAAATAGGATGTAAGGAAATGTCTGCTATACAACACCATCAGGAAACTGAAACAAACACAGAACCTAGTTTAAAAAAACACCACCAACTGATCCAGTGTCTATAGACTGATCTTAGAAGACAAAATAGAAAACAACCCACAGAGTGATGAAAAGATACCGTTTTCTGACGCTCGCCCCACAGCCAACAGGTGGCGCTATTCTGCAAGTCATAAGCCCGGGACATCATAGCAGAGGTGTTCTGCTTTTAATGCTACACCGGACCATCGAACCCACCCACCTGTCCAAAATCACATCCAGTTCCAGTGATGCTTTGCAAACATAAGTACACTTGGGGTAAAATATTTAAGAAAAACGTTTTTTTAAAAACAGACAGGTTTACTGGATGTCATGCATTAAGATCCTGGACAACAGAGGATCTAAAGCGGAAGCACAAATGACTTTGGGGTATTTCTATTTAGTACATCAGAAGTATTTTACATACATCACTGAAATTAAACAAGCATTACATAGCAGAATATTATTGCCACATTTATTTTCTTTCCATGATTACAGCAATTATGAGCACAAGCTGACCGCTCACGATATCGGCATCGGCCAAAAACATTTGAGATATAAAGTCTCTTAACAGTCTGTAACATATTTATGTAGACACAAACTCAGCCGCTTTGGCAAAAAGAACAAACAACTCCGACTCTAGGTTTTGCCAAATGCAACCAAGCTGCTTTATATGTGCACTCTGCTTCAAACACCACCACTGGGTAGCCCCACTAAACTCATCATCGTTTAAAACAGGAAGTGTTGGATGAGGTAAATAAGTGTGTGCCCTGCCGTGTGTGTGTTCACACACGTCCTGTGTGCATGTATACAGAGAAAATATCCTGTACAACTACAGAAATCTGTTTTTTAAACAAACAGCCTTTTCCCTGCTCAACCACTGGTTTAATTTGAGGAAATAGAATCATGTGACATTGTTGTACATCACAATCAACAGATGCATTACCATCAGAATAAATACAGCACTCAATGATAGTGTTGGGTTAACAAAGACGCAGTCCGAATCCCCGTCCTAGGAACTAAAGACCATGAGACAATCTCTTATTTACAAAATCAATCCCATTGTCACTACACTAATAAGCAAGCGGTGGCTCTAGCGCCCTCTACTTGCAGTGTGCAGTAAAATAAACTTCCCTATAAAAAAACATACCCCTCCAATGGGGAGGACCCTCGAGATTGTCAAACAAATGCCTTCTACATAAGCCTTCAGAAAGAAACTCCACCTCTTCCTCCTTTTGTAAATGCATCTTTTAATGAACCCAAACTCTGGCTTCTTTAATAAAACCTTGTGTGAGGCTCTAGAAGCTTGTCTGGTGGTTAGTGGGAAAGGAAATTAAACTGCATTAGCTTGAAACTTTGGGTCATGCATTTTCTTTTTCCCAACCCAGCTGTCTCCCCCACTGTACCGGTGCAAGTCAGGTAGACCTGGCACCGCTAGAACCTTTACACGTGTAACGAAAGTCTTTTGAGGAAAAAGTCCAAAAACTGACGACACACCGAAACACAGATGTCTGTGTGGTGCAGGGAGATGACTGTATATACAAACAGGTTTTAAAATAGTGTTTTGTTTGTACAGATGTGTGCACGTGGGCTACAAGAAGGAAGAACTGCGACTGAATCACACGACTGACGGACTCTCCTGTTCTCCTCTCTGCCCTGAGCTCTGGGTTCCTCTCTACAGGCTGAAGTGAATCTGTCCCTCTCCTGCTCTGCTGTGAGCTAATCAACAGTCCTGGAGTACCGTAAAGGAAGTGCAGACAAAAACTAAGGAGAAGTCAGGGATGGCAAGTGTGTGCCGCTCTAAATACACGCCTTCTAAGTGATGTTACTCATGCTTTGGTCCACTAAGAGAAGTTCTGTGCCGTGATAACAACTGGTTTGTGTAAAATTTAAAAGCCTGTGATTCTTTTCCACCAGCCTGCTCTTTTCTTATTTCTCGACTAGTTTGAGCAAGACCAGATTTTTCCATGTGCGTTTCACCATGGGAGTTTCCACAATCGTCCACTTCCACCGAGTGTAGGAGCCAGGCGCTCTCCACAGGTCTTCCTGTGACCACCGCTCCCATCATGCCTCACTGCCTGCCAGTGTGCATCCAGAACTCCAGCATCGTCTTGGAGACCGGAGCCAGACACAGTGACTGGAGGTCAGCAAAGACAACGGTGCAAATTTAAGTTGCCTTGGTGTTTGTGTTGAATTCTGTGGGGAAGGGAGTTCTGCTTTTGTCTCATTGATACTTCACAGGTGTGATTTGGAGTTCTTTACAGTGGGCCGTACTTGGCCTCATATCGGGCCAGGATGTTCTTACAGCGGCCGCAGTCCTTCCGTAGCTCAGCCACCTGCTGCCTCAGCGCAGCATTTTCCCGCTCCAGGAATGAGGCGCGCACCGTGATCTGGTTCTCTTTCAGCCGCCGCGCATCACGAGAGCGCTTTGCTGCCAAATTGTTCTTCTTTCTCCTGGACCAGTACTTCTCATCCTGGGGAAATGAGAGGAAGGAGAAAGAGGTGTACTAAACATCGTACCCATTTTAGATCTCTAATCCATCCATCTACAAATGCTTTAATCTTTACGAGGACTAACCTAAACACTGAGCCATCATCAACTCTCCATGTTTAACCCCTGAAACAGTATTGGACTCATCTCAAACACACTATACAAGTCAGATTTCTCAGTAATCTCTTTTACACTGCCCATTCAAGGCAGGATGACAATTCTCCATATAAAAGGTACCAAGCCAACCTAGGGGGGGATCAGTACTGACCCACCAGAGGTAGAAAAACTGGCAAAACCATTCAGCCTCTGTGAAAGAGTCTAACACACTGCGCTTCAAATGGTGAGGTGGAGCGGTGGCTGTGAGGGTCGCAACACGTCACTCACATCACATTCACCCACCGTACACAGGATTAAATCCACCTACCTTCTGTTCATCAGGAACAAACACCTTCTTGGCCTTCTTGATCATTGGCTGTGGTTTCAGATCCTCTTCAGAGAATTTATGTTTGCGCGGGTTGAACAGCTCTCCCCCCGGCACACTGGACAGGACCAGGTCTGTGGGATCTGGCTGGAAATTGATGTCCACCTCGATGGCTTCTGGGTCGATAGGGGAAGGCGTGCTACGTTCTGCGGCACTACGATCTGTGGGTTTGGATAGACCAGGTAAGCTTGGATGCGAGAGAAGCCACTCCAGTCAAACTAAACTAACCACATCTGCTGTTTAGTTAAGTTCAGTGGGTGTAAAAATGCGACTGTGCTGCATCAATTATGTGCTTAAATACCGGCACAGGACAGGCAGTAGGACAGACACTGCAGTTTGCTGACAAAGTGTAAAATAACTTTCACCTCATTCGACACTTTAAGCACAGTCAACCAACAACTATGTTGGTTTAGATGAGTTGTCAGGTACTGTATACTGTACAGGAAATACCAAATATGGGCATTTATATATGGGTCAGCAAAAATAAACAGTGAAGACATTACTTAGGCATCCAGGACTTGTGAAAGACATCCAGGACTTGTGAAAGACATCCAGGACTTGTGAAAGACATCCAGGACTTGTGAAAGACATCTGTCTCATTCATCAATTCATTGAAAAAAGCAACAGATGAACTGATAAAAGAAAAGACAGGTGTGTTTCCACCTGAAAGTTCCTGGTACTTTTTGTCCCCAGGAATTGAAGTCCAACAACCTGGGGGGGTGGGATAGAGTTACATCCCAGAAGTAAATTTAGACCCTGGTTCCTCTGGCGGAACCACAGGAAGGGGAACCAAGCCTTGTAAAATGTTCCTGTTCCCTGGGGAAAGTTCTTTTGTGGGAAGAAGGGCGCACTGTAAAGGGGAGGTCATGCTTTGCACACACCCTTGTGCAAAGCACTGACAACGTCCCCTTTCTAGTTTTTATAGCAAACAGGTTGCAGTGTGTAGTGGGCCGTCATGCTGGCCATGTTTCAAACATATGCTACAACTACAGGCATCAGCTGAAACAACTGGCCTCGGTGTCCAGTATTCAGCTTCTACATACAGAATTTAATCATCTGGACGGTAAGAAATGGTTTCATTCTGTCTAATTATAATGAACATTTGACAACAGACAGAAAATAAAACCAGGACTTCTTAACTGAAAACACAAATAAACAGGAACAGTGTAACACAACAGCAAAACTCCCATCAGCCGTCTAAATGCTCCCCTCTTACTCACCTGTTTTTTTCTCTTTCACTTCCACTGTCGTCTCCTCGGACAAAGACTGCTCTTCGTGTTCTTCCTCTCCCTCCTCTTCCTCCTCTTCCTCCTCTAGTTTAGCTGGGTGTAAGGTGGTGACCGTCACTGTTTCCTCTGGATCTGAGATGGCGGTGGAGGCAGAGGGGGAAGATGCTAAAGTAGAGACAGATGCAGCAGCAGGAGTAGCAGTAGTAATAGTAGTAGTAGTAGTAGCAGCAGCTGTAACCTTGGGGATGGATTTGCCTTTTCCTTCCACGGAGGTCAGAGTCTTCTGCAGCTCCTCCTCCTCCAGGCTGACAGGGATCCCGTTCTCCAGGAGGAACTCATCCAGGTCCATGTACTCCAAGTGGAAGGTCTCCCCATCATAGGGAATGGTCTTCTCCCAAATGGCTGGGGTCAAGGATGCTGATACACCGCCACCACCACTGGCTGCCCCAGCCCCACCTCCCTCCACGTCCTCAGATGAGCATAGCTTCTCTTTCCCAATTTCTGCATTGAAGACAGGAGGGAACAGAGTTAAACAAAGTGAGAGGTTTTCCTTCCGCGTCCATTCAAAATGCTGAATGCAAACAAAACACATGCACCCACACATATAGGAAAAGCCAGTTAACAGATGGAAAGAGGCAGGGTGGTAGGAGGGGGGGTGTGGGCTGGCAAAATAATGGGCTAAACAAAGGTGGGTCACAACAAAAAACCTGTCACTCAGTATAAAGTGAAAGAGCACATGAAATACAAGACAGGAGGCGGATTTGGAAGAAGTCAGGAAACCGACTGGGAGACAGTCCAGCTTGTTCCACACATGCATCCAAAACACCAACCACCACACGAACTACAGACCAGATAACACAAGACTAACATGTTTAACACTGCCTGGGAGCGTGCTCGCTGTACATGCACGCTACTCGGAGAGCAGCACAGGAACTGGAACTTTTTGTTCCTTTCGGTCTCCAATGAAACTGGCTGTGTGTGAAATGCGCGATGCGCGCCCTGATCTCCCAGTCACATTATCCGAATGCATTTAACACCAGTTACCAAAGAAATAGCAGGTTATGCAGCTGATGTGATTACTGAAAACCAAACAAGACGCAAACGGGGAAACTGAGCGCTTGTTTTTGCACGATAATCTTACCGTCGTCGCCTTCCTCCGGGATGTTAGGACGGGGGATCTCCATAATCTTCTTTATAACAAGAGGGAAGGGCTTCTGTCGAGCCGCTGTAACGTTATTACTGGGTTGAATCGCCACTGCCACCGCGGCTTTTCCGGGCATTGTTTCGTGCCAAGCTCCGAGACCACCGGGGCGATGTTCCTGACGGCACCGAGAGCTGCCTCCTCCTCCGGGACACAAATGAGTCACGGCCTTCGCTTGTTTCGCCGCCGCAGTTGCTGCTTTCAAGCCCGATTGTCAACAGTTTGAGATGGAAAAGCAACACTACACAAGTCCCTTGTCCTCCGTGCCCATCGAGCGCGCTCATTGGATATTCATGAGTCACCTGCTCCGCCCACTCGCGGAATAGTAGAATCTGATTGGTCGTCAATGCAGTCAGCCGTGTCTATGTGCATGTGAACCTAAATGGGCTCCATGTCTGTTTAGTAACCCACTTATCATCTTTGGTCTGTAAAGTCGTTACATCCGGGGAGTGAACCGCAATATCAACATAAAATTAGGTGAGTCCGGTCTCTGTTGTCGTTTCTACATGCAAGCTGCACGAAAAGCGTGACAAATCACACACACACGCGCGCGCGCTGTAATTACGACTGAAATCTGTGCCCACACAAACACATGCAAACACTTTCTGTCGCCAGCTTCTCCGTGAGTACACGCATGTGCGCAAACACGTGCCCCCGCCTCCATCCATCTCACGTGAAAGTACAAACAGTCGAGGGGCGTGGCCTCAAATACCTGGCACGTGCGGGTCAAGGAGAGCGAACCAGCTGGCACGGGACCCAATAAGGGTACGTGATATTTGCAGACAACTGTAAATATCGTTCCCCACATGCAGAAACGAGCGGGTAATCCTCCGTGCACGCGACTGTGCGCGCCAGGGTCTCTCGCTCTCTGCAGGATGTATGGTTTCAGGAACACGATGTACAAACCGCACAGAGCCCGCCTACACTCCTAATCTGGGTTTTTCTTTTCCTTTTGTTTTTTTATCAAGTCTCCACAGTAACACGCGGTAAACAAGATGTTACGTGACTGCCTGAATACGGAGAGGAGGCTGAAGACTAGGCCCATGTAAGCCTACTGCTTACACTCCCATCTGTTTCCATGTGCAGTATGCAGAGATAAGACCAGTCTTTCAGGTGCATCTCCCTTTATACTGAACACTTGTAAAATATTGTGCACATTGTTACAATAGCTACTAAACACTGAATGTAACACTATTTATTAATGCATCAATTTGCTTTTCTCTAAATTATGGTCTTGCAGTTGCAGTCTGAAAACATCAGGGTTGCTGATACAGCACAGAGCCAGTCAGCAGTGACGTTGCTGCTATTTCATCCATGGTGCAGTTAATTTGTCTCCGCTGCACTACTTTAAATTCTCTGAAGTAGTTGGTACATCTATTTTCTGTGGAGAGATTGGCTACAGTTCAGTTAACACGTTCACTTTGGCAAATGAAGCAACGCTTTTGTTGTAGTTTGAGTGATAGTTTGAGTGATAGTTAACTGTTTGACAGACTACAGTGGACAACATGGGGTCATACTATACTGATTTCACAGTTAGTATACAATAAATAACAGTACTACTTGTAGTAACAGGAAAATTATGTGAGATCTGCACAGATGGATGTCAAACTGCAGCTTTGGAAAGCTGGTGCCAATATAAACATTTTTTTGGATCATAAAGAAGAGTTTTTCAGTTTGCATGCCGAGTGATGTGCCATGGTTCAAGTGTAAACATCCTACATACTCCAGGCTGCTTATATGTAGTATAGATCTGGTACCGAGCTGAAGACTGTCTTTGTGCAGATGATCAGTATCAGGTATCACTGTGATGGGGCAGGGGTGACTGGGTCAGTCTGACTTGGTGTGTGTCACAATAACTAGAAACTTTTCTTATGTGTTACATCATGTACGTACATGAACACATAGTTCACAGAATATAAAGTCACCATCCACTTGCTAAATATGATGCAGAGCCCATTGACAAAAACAAGTCTGCTATGTGTATAATACGAACATCCACTGGCCCCGTCATGGGCTAAACACCTCTCAGTGCCCTCTACTGTTTGCAAACATGCATGGAAATGCCATTTACTCTCAGGAAGGAGCTCAGACAGGAGATGGCCTCGTGGTCCCACCATTGTTTCAGGGCAAACGAGAACAAGAAGGCTTTGTATGGATCAAGATTACATTTATCCAAGTAGAAAACCAGAGTTTTAATGATATATAATCATAGCAGGGTCATTTCAGTGACTTGTCTGTGGCTGCAGGGCAGCATGGGGAGGAGAAACAGCATGCTTGACAAACACCTGCAGGGAAAATAAGGGCTCAAAGCTTAAAAGTAAGTGGCGCATCCTGTACAATATACTGTGACCAGCACTGTCCTCACTGTGCAAAGGAGCCTATATCAGCCAGTGATGTAGCTGACCTTGAGCAAAAACAGAATTTCTCAAGAGAGATCAGCAAATGATCAAAACATTATTTACTACTGCAATCAAACAATAACAGCCTCAAAGTGGTCACAGACCATACGAAGAGGGCACTGCAGCCAACCATGGGAGGGTACATGTATAAAAGTGGAAGCAGATGGAGCCACGTATGTTTAGAATAAGTTATAGTCCCGTATATTTCACAGTGAGAGGCTGATACAACCATGTTTCTGTCAGTACCTGTAAAGCTGAAGGAGAGGGGAAAACACAAAGCATACTCAAAGTAAAAAAGGAAGGGGTGTCCTGATGGCCTACATGTGATCCTAACACATCAGCCACAGCATGTCATCGCCCCGTCTGTACTATTAACTCTCATATAGTAACTACAACACCAAACCATAATTTCATAATCTAAAAAATAAAGCAAGAGAGTGTACATGAACAACAAAGTGCACAAAGATGCTAATGATGTGATGAAAGCCTGAGTGTGGACTGTTTCAGTGATGTTGCATCAGTTGTAGGCTGTGTGTTGTGTCTCATGGAGAAAGAGCCCCGTGCATGTTCTGAGCGATCAGAGCAGCTCAACACATTTTCACACAAGTCTATAACATGGGTGATGTCAACATGCAACGTGTTGACCTCATTCTACAGCATTCAGTGTTAAGATGAATTAGAAAGACACCACACATCATTTAATCCCCTTCTACTGAGGACTGTGAGGACAACGATGGAAGAAGTGCTGTACTCAGTACTGAGGTAGTAGCAATACCTCAATGTAAATGCACATTGCTGATTTTATTTAAGTGGTTTTAAGAGCAGAGAGTCCACTAAACAGTCAATATATAGGTGTACCAAGCTAAAACTATTACTTTGTCCACCCCATTTACTGTATATCAGTGCTAAATAACAGAAACAGCTCTGTTGCAGTGCAGGTCAGCATCACCACAAGCTACAGCCTCCAGTGTTCCACAAAAACATAACGCAACTGCAGGGCTGTTTTATCATCAGTGTTAGCTAGGTATACCTAATAAAGTGGCAACTGAGTGTAAACCCCCAAGAGTAAAAGTATTTATTAGGCTGAAGAGTGGTGACATATAACTTTATGTAATATTAGTAACGTTGTAACTGGCTGATACTGTTGGGTAGTTTATCTAAATTATATATATAAATAAATATTTTGCGTATAAAGTTTATAGAAGTCACTCGTCTAATAAAGTTAGTGCAAGTGGAAGTACATCATTTCCCCTTAAATGTACTGTAGTAGAGCAGGTTTAAATACTTCAAACGTGTACTTACAGCGCTTTTCCCCATCCCTGCTGACTACAGAACAGTTTGCGATAACAAATGCAACACGTTGACAAGTTCCAATACTGTTTTTCTGCTGGAACAGACATCTTCAAAATATTCTTACCGGTGTCATCGAAGACAGGAAAGGTGAAGGGATAGTCGGTCAAAGACTTGAGGAGATCAGGAACGTCGCTTCTTTCTCCAGAAAAGATGTGGTTCCCTGTCGACATGTTTAAAACTCTCCTGAAGTCCAACAGACGAGCTCAACTGAGTGAGAAAGGCTCAAACTGTGGCTGGCTGCGTGTGCCCTCTCTCACTTTTAACCAACTTTGTAGAAAGTCACATCACGAGGACTCCCGCATGTATCCACACAACTCGTAGAGGGAGTCACGCCCCAGACGCCGTTGATTCGCTGATAGTTAAGCATGGGGCTGTCAGTCACAGCGTTAAGCCAATAAGAAAGCAGGAGGCGGGCTTTAGTAATATACCCAAAACAACAACTCTGTTCAGCTGTGCACGTTTCCCACCACGCAGGGCAACACGTGCAGGCCACAAGTAGGCCGGCGGACAGGTGCAGCCAAACCTCCCGCGCCATCTAGTGATCTGGATGAGAAGTGCACGGGAAGAGTGCTAGTGTCATCAGCGTTCACATCGGTGGCAGTTTACTAGCTCCACCTGGGAAGGTGTCCGAAGTGGCCATACAGCCGAATCATCATCATCATCATCATCGCTATTAACACTGCAGTAGTTTTAGCTTGGTGTACCTAGTGCACTTAATATACCTGATACATAACATTGGATCCTGTGAGTTACATGTTTTATTTATATATTTTTCCCTGTCTCTTTTTTTGTCAGGATATCAAAAAAAAAACTCTTCCTTCAAAAAAACTTTTATCATAAGACTCTTTCATATTTTTATTGACTGATTTATATTTGTGGGAATGTGTGTGTATGTTTTTTGTCTCCCTTGCAAAGCACTGCATCATATACATAAATTTATTGCTATTGGGTTGTTTTAATTCTTTAACAATACACCATTAGTTCAAATGTTTTGTATGTAAAGTAACAGCTGCCAATAACTGTGGTGGTGTAAGAAGTACTTCCTTTACTTCCTTTTAAATTTTAAAAACACGTTAAGACTTCACATGCAGTTCAAATCTGTACCTATCTACAGTATTGGTAAATGTTCTTCGTTACTGAGGGCGTAATCTGAACATGACTTCAAACCCAATAACCTCATCACCTTGTTATTAGTATTACTGCTATTACTTTTCTCATTATTGGATATTTATACCTGTTATTGCCTTAGATTTTTTTTGTTAGTTATTACCTCTACCACCTACATCATTTTTAATTTCCTTAGATACGTATACAAATATTTGTGGCAAAAAACTGGCACACATACAAACACAAACATGTTCCTGCCATAAACAAATTATATTACCTGGGGCCTATTTCAAGAAGGCGGTTTTGTCGAAACTCAGAGTTTGTTAACCCCGAAATGAGGGAAACTCGGAGTTTTCGGTTTCAGAAACGGAGGTAACTTAAACCCGTGAAAACGGGGTAAGTTAAACCCGTTTCACAAAGAGAGGTAATCTAAACTCAGAGTCAGTTACTATGGCAAATTACTCTGTGAACCTAACCTGCTGGCGAGCAGGTTTTGTTCGGGAAACTCAGAGTTTCCTCCGGGTCTCCGCCCCTTTTTAAAGTGAAAGGTGTTTAATACCTCATTTAATCTTTCAGTACATTCATAGATTGCACACGTTTCCGTCACGCAGAGACCAAAATGGCGTGTCCATTCATAGAGGATCCTGTAGAGGAGGACGCTGTATTAATTCGCAGGGAATTGCATTTACGTCGGGAGAGGATATTGAGGCCACAAGTTGATTTTTTGTCATATCCCCATGTATGTTTATTTGAGCGGTACCGTTTGTCTAGAGAGTCCATAACATATATCAATAATCTTATCCACCCATACATCAGACACATCACCCATCGTGGCCGTGCTCTTACATCCGAGCAGATGCTTTGTGTTGCGTTACGATTTGTTGCAAACGGCAGTTTTCTTTATAACATCGGGGATGCAGAGCAAGTAAGGCCACAGTATGTAGAATAGTTCGGAAAGTGTGCCGCGCCCTCAAGCGCTTTCTGTGAAT